AAAAAAAAAAAAAAAAAAAAAAAAAAAAAAGGGCAGCACGCTGCCTTTAATTTTTCTAAAATTGAAATATCAAGTGTTTTAATATAAATCCCACAATCAAGGGAACAACTCGTAACGCTCATCCTACGATTTCCTTACCCCAATCTTTCGCTAGGTCCAGCCCTGATCCAAAGTCAACTAGAATCACACGTTACCACTCATTAATATAAAGGTTCTGTGAGCCCCGATATGCCTTGTTGGAATCGCTTCGATGATTCGAGAATGATGAAATATTTTTTTAGGTGGTTCGCATCTAAGCAAAACTTCTGATTAGTTGAAATGTTGTTCAAATGACAATAAGGAATAATTTTGGAAGCGATTAATCATGGAAAAAAAAAAGTAAAACAAAACAAGACACTCTTTTGGCTTTTTTTTTCTTTTTTTTTTTTTTTTTTACCTTTTCGTACATGGTCATTATAATTCTATATATATGAGTGGTTTTCATGTTGAAAAATATATCACAAACATGAAATTCATTTATTAACATCCAAAATCAAAGATCAAACCAATTTTTTACAATTTTGTTCATTGGTTCCTTTTTCCAAATTTTAATTGCTTGATTTATACTTGGTTTAAGTTTGTTTAATTCTGCAAACTAATTGTCATTGAATCCTTCAAGTACTTACCTCGATGGCGACAAATATCGTTTGAGGACAACGATTCATAATAGTGTTCAAACCTTCCATTTTTGCGATTTCCTGTTGCTCGTTTTATTTTCATTCTTCATCAATTTTGTTCAACAATCTCAAACGACATTTTCAACATAGACAATGAGACAACCATGGCTACGATAATGATATGAATCAAGAATGCGACAACCATGGCTACGATAATGATATGAATCAAGACCTTTAAGGCTTGACAAATTTGACGGATCAAACTTTACAAAAATGGAAGAACAAGTTGACGTTTCTTCTTACGACTTTTAAGATCTTTTATATCTTGGACCCAGACTTGGTGCCATGACCAGAGCTAGCCACAAATGACACCAATGAAAGAAGGGCAAAAAGGAAAGAAGATGATGTGATATATAGAGGACACATTCTGAATACTCTCTCTGATCGCTCTATGATCTCTACACAAATAGTACCTCGACAAATGAAATATGGGAATTGTTGGAAACTATATACAAGGCCGAGGAGGATGGTACCAAAAAGTTTCTTATAAGTATTTTGATTTCAAGTTTTTGGATAACTTGCCTTGGTTATGACAAGTCCCTGAATTGCAAATTATTATCAATAAAATGAAGGTTGTAAAGATAGATCTTTCCGTAACTTTCCAAGTTTATGCAATCATTGAAAAATTGTCATCTTCATGGAAAGGTTATAGGAAGAAAATCCTTCACAATTCCCAAGATTAATCTTTGGAAGAAATTCAAAAACATCTTCGAGGAAGAGTCAAAGGCACGAGATAGAAATAAACATTCTTATGAGAGCACTTCCAAAGCCCATGCAATGGATCAACCAAACAAATACAATAAAGATTCCAAGAAGAGAAAATCTACAAATCCCAACAAAGATAACAAAAACAAGAAGAAATCGAAAATTTGTTGTTATATGTGTGGCAAACTCGGACATTATGCTCAGAATTGCAGATATCGCAAACAACCACTGCTAAAAAGCAAAGTAAACTCTATTGACCACATCATTGCTACCGTAAGCATTATAAATTCAGTCAAAGGAAATGTTTAAGAATGATGGTAGATACTTGTGCCACCGTACATATATACCATGAGAGATCCATTTTCAAAATCTATTAAGAACTGAATGACGAACACATTTAAATGGGAAATGAAGTTCAATCAAAAGTAGTTGGCAAAGAAAGTATAGACTTATAGTTTACATCGGACAAAAAGATCACATTAATAAATGTATCACATGTACCAGATATGAATAAAAATCTTGTAAGTATTGATTTGTTGGGAAAACCGAGAATAAAGTCCACATATGAATTGGGCAAACTTATACTTTTCCGGAATCGTGTATTTGTTAGAAAAGGCTATTCTAATGGTGGAATAGTCAAATTTTGTATTATTGATAATAATATCAATAAAACTACAAATTTAAATTATATTGTTGAATCTATTTCTTTATGACATGATAGACTAGAACACGTTGGTTCTACTTTAAAAAGAATGATTGAAATGGGAATGATTTCATGTGAAAATCTAGAATATAATAAATGTGAATTATGTGTTATGTTTAAAATGATTAAGAAATATTTTCATAGTATTGAAAGAAAATTTAGGGCATGTTTGAGCCACATTTTTTTCAAAAAAAATGTTATATTCTTAAACAGTGATTTGACATCATTTCAAGCATACATTCTTCAATAAAATAATATTAAACGCAAATCCAAAACTTTCTTTATTTTTTAATAACACATTTCTTACCAATACACTATTTAAAAATTCATTCTAAGCAAAATAATGTGGCTCAAACAAAGGCATAATTCGCTAGACTTAATTCATTCTGATAAATGTGAATTAAATGAAATGTTTACTAGATGAGGTAATAGACACTTCATAACATTCATAGTGATCGTTATAGATTTTGCTATATCTACTTGATGAAACATAAGGATGAAGCTTTAACATGTTTAAGATATATGAAGCTGAAGTAGCAAATCAATTAAATAGACATATTAAAATTCTCAGAAGCGATGGGAAGGTGAATATCTCTAGTGAATTTAATCTTTTTGTGAACAAACATGGTATAATACATCAATTTAATACACTTAGAACACTCGAACAAAATGGTTTGATTGAGAGAAAGAATAGGACACTGGTTAAAATGATAAATACTATGTTATTAAATATTAAGTTATCATCTAACTTATGGGGTGAAATTTTATTGAGTGCATGTTACATAGTTAATAGGATTCTTTCTAAAAGATTTAAGGTTTCTCCATATGAATTGTAAAAAGGGAGAAAATCAAACATTGATTATTTCAAAGTGTTGGATTGACTTGCTTATAGTAAGAACACATATCCTAAAAGGACTAAGTTGAGTCCTAAAGAGATCAAATGTACTTTTGTAGGATATACCCAAAATAGCAAGGTACATCGATTATTAAACTTGGAAACCAATGCTATTATTGAATCCCGTAAAGTAGAGTTTTTTGAGAATATGTTATCTTTAGATAATAATTCTATAAGGGAATCTCAAGTAGAGATTTCTAACTTTTCAAGATCATAAGTAGAAACACATTCCGAGGATATCGAAACGAGTGAACTTCAGAGAAGAAAAAGGGCTTCAAAAGGAAAAAGTGCTAGGATGGGATGAATTGGACTCTCACCTTATTTTTTTCTATTTAGTTGAGGGAAATGAGAAAA